TGATGTACCGGTAGCATCACCCATTTTGAAATCACGGCGGCACATCTACCACCAGTGAAGTAATTTGGCCAGCACATTCTCCAGTTGGTTCGTTTCGTGTGTAAGAGACACCTTAATGCATTAATGCCTTTGTCTGCCCTGTCGCCAAACCTAAAATCACCCATGCCCACCATCGGCCGGTATTATCTCTGAAAATCTTTGGGCTTTACTTGCTATTTGAAAAATCGGTGCGTATTTCCGTTTTGAACGAAGTTGTTTTCCTTCTGGGGCCAGATACTTGGGGGCTGTTTAACTTTGTAATTCGTGGAACATCCTTCTATTCCAGCATTGAATCCTCCTCTTGGATGGTAAGTGTCCTTCGAATAGTAGAATTAATATGCTGAAATGATGTGTCGGCTTGACATAGTATTTTTGTTTTGAACTATGTTATACAATTTCATGTTTTTAAGCTATATGATGGATCAGCATTTGGAAGTCCGATCTCACAACTCTTATAAGGATGATCTTACCTTCAATTTTTTTCTGAGGCAGTGAGGCATTGTTATTATTCCTCAAGTTAAGCTCTTGTAAGATCGTGGGAAAGCTAGGATTACATGGTCAATATTGTCAAACATGAATTGGCAGTAATGTATGGTCAGTAGTTGATATATTTTCTTGTTTAATTGCTGATTAGAAGATTATTGTGATGTGGTTATTTTTCATTTTTTCTATTAGAATTGTTCGATGGCAGTAGTGTATGGTCAGTAGTTGATATATTTTCTTGTTTAATTTCTGATTCGGAGATTATTGTGATGTGGTTATTTTTCATTTTTTCTATTAGAATTGTTCGATGGCCGGAAGGAATAAGGAGATATGTCATTCATGTAGACGGCCAGGGCACATGTTATCAGATTGCCCCGGGAAGAGAAGATGACCAAATTGTGGACAATGCTACATTAAATGGATGGAGGTGGAAAAGCAAACCGATAACAAAAGGTCGTTTGTTCCACTGTTGTTCCTGTGACGTCTGTCGATTTTTCGATTGGAATAAATCTCCTCCCGACGTAGCATATCCGTCGCAAGATGAAGGTCAATCAAGTGGTATCGCCAATGGTAGTGAACCTATTGATGATTTGTCACGTATGTTGGAAACGTGTGCGAACATAGCCGATAAGAAGGACATTGAAATTTCCCTCAACATCATAACAATGCGTAAGGGGAAATGAGGTTTGGAAGATGTTCTATGAACTTTGATGTAAGAAGGACATCGACATTTCCCTCAACATCATAACAATGCGTAAGTGGAAATGAGGTTCGGAAGATGGTCTATGAACTTTGATGTAATGAGATGGTGATTGAATATTTTATCTTTAGTGATTGTATGTTAATGACAATGTAATGGTTTGATGTTAATCATAATGTAATGCCTAATGTATGCGTTTGTGTAGTTTTTGAAGATAATTAAAGGCCTGTCAAGTATCTGAGCTGCTTGTTTGTACTTTAATATAAGTCAATGCAAACATTTATTGAGAGATGTAAGATGAGAACAAAATGAATGTCTGATGTAACTAACAAAATTAAGATAACACAATGAGCTCCATTTAAACAGTAATCACTTGCAAGTAATTCATACATTACATTAAAAAAAAAAGGATCATTCTTTTCTTTTAAGACTTGCATACAGTGAAGTTAACAATGAAATAGGCAACACCGCATCTTTTCATTTAACTTAACCAACAGAAGATGAAAATCATAAAGTTTTTACATAACCAACCGATGTGAAAATATGCTATCCCTTCAACCTCAATGATTAAAATTGGAACGAAATTACAAAAAGTATGGCCAACACAATAGCTTAACAAAAAAATCATCCATTTTAAGCTATTTGACATCCGAAAATCATTACCGGGCTCGCTCTCTTGTGTGCCAAACCTTGTGACAATTTTTTGATTTCTTTGAACTAGTTTCAAAATGTCCCTTTCGACAAAGTTTTTTTGGAGCTCCTTTGCTTTTCGTATGCTTCAGATCGAAGATGATTCCGCTAGCACACTTTCCTGCTTCATCATAGTTGTGGGAGACCTGAATTCTAGACTTCATCATGGAAGACTCTATGGTTTGACGTTCAATCCACTCAATAATTTCATCCGATCGCGATGTGTCATGTGCTACCAAATCAGCTAACTTGGTAAATGCATTGCACATTTGCTCATATCTAACTTGGCCCGGGGTACTGATCCAACCATCATAATTGATCGAAACCCTCGTGTACGATCGGTTCACATCTCTCCTCCATCTGTGCAATATATATTTCTCAGGTACTACTTTCACTTGGTTTCGAATCAAAACTGTGATTGCGTGCTTGCAAATAATTCCCCTAAACTCAAACAAATAACAATTGCACTCAAATTCAAATTCATCCTTATGGAAGTACACTTCAAACAGTTTTGTCTTCGTACATTCATTCAAAATGATGTCCTCACGTACTTCGTACATAGTATGCAAGTATGAATCATGAGCAGATAAGACTTCGCAATATACCTTTTCGGTGAACTGTTCTTGGAACTCCTTGAACTTTGCAATTGTGTACACTGATTGAAATTGATTCTCCATTTCGTACCTTGTTGCACATGGGGACCATCTATGAAAATGATTTGAAATCAGCATGAACCTTCTTCTCAACTTTACTTCTCAATACACGTTCATACTGCTCTACAAATTGCTTTAGGGAAGTTTTCGAATGAACATAGCCATCAAAAAATGCATTGATGCTCTCACTTCATTGAGTAGTTGACATACCCGCCCAAAATGAAGTTTTCAAATAACATGACACCCATCGAGATCTCTCATTGTATAGTCTATTCAACTGAGAATTCTCTACCAATTCATAATCTTCAAGCATCTTATTCCAACCTTGCTCAAATTCATCACAACTTTGCACATCGTACACCAACCTATGCACAACAGAAAGAACTTCAGCCGGCCACCGAATTTTTCTGGTAACTTTTTCAGGATATGCCACAAACACCATCTATGTTTTGTGTTTGGAAACACGATTTCAATTGCATTTTGCATAGCTCAATCTTGATATGTTATAATTCCTTTTGGAGCTTTATCATACATACACCAAAGCCAGGTTCTGAATAGCCATAGGAAAATGCTTGTATCCTCAGATGAGACCAAACCACAACCAAGAAGAGTTGATTGTCCATGATGGTTTACTCCAACAAAAGGAGTGAAAGGCGTTTCGTACTTGTTCGTCAAGTATGTGGTGTCAAACGTTATTACATAACCGAATTCATTACATACTTGTCTGCACCTATTATCTGCCCAGAAAACGTTCCTCAGACGGGCATCCTCATCCAAGTCTATACTAACATAGAAGCCAAGAGTACTTGATTGCATCTTTGAAAATATTGCAACATCGTCTCATTCACCAAGTCTTAAACGATGTACTCTGTCAATGAAATTTCTAAAATCCTTCTCAAAACATGAAATATTCTCGTAACCACCGGTTTCAACTACGGCTGAGTTAAAACTATTGTGCAATGGTATACCAACGATGTCATTTATTTCAAGGTGTCTTTTAACTCGTGAACTGATTTGGCGATTACATCGATATAGCCGTGATTTTGATGGGCTTGTTCTATGATTGTGCTCCACATAAACCGTGTTATGCACCAAATTCCATCAAGTTCAGAACATGTAGTCAATCTCGCTTTGCTACCAATTTGGATAGTTGGTTGCGGCTTCAAAACTGCATTTGTTCCACTGTTTCGAAGGCCTTCCCGACTGCAAGTAAAAGTTATATAACGTACAATCCCGTCATCACCCTTCTTTGAATTTCTTTTCCTCACAAGAAACCCGACTTGGTAAGCATAGTTTTTGTAAAACTCAAACATCTCTATCTCATCCTTAAACTTCATTCCAACACTAGGCACAATAATGTCTGTTCCTTCTCGTAAGGTCTTATCATTTGGATTGTCATTTTTGGATGAAAGAACTTCTAAATATCCTACATTCACAAAAAATTTGACAAAAACCAATTAGAATGGCTGGCACAAAATCATCGAAATTTGATCTATATGAATTTACCAATATAGTTAATTTTCACCACAATGGGGTTGGGTCACGGGTAATCTCAAGTTACCAGGTCAAAAGCTCAAAATCTTTAGAAAAATACAGCTTTCCTTCACGGGTAATCTCAAGTTACAAGCTCAAAAGCTCACACATTCGCTCAACTTTCCATGTCCAGAAGATAAAGCAAATAACTTTGTGTTCTTGAAATACTCTCATTTTTCTTTCACATTCACCGACACCCACACAAAAAAAACAGTGAAAAATTGAATCTTTGAACTGGGTTCTTGAAATAAAATAAGAAAGACAGTAAAACTCAAGACATGATTTACCATTGTCGGAGTTTAAGAAGGTTAAGAAGCTATTACCCACGCTATCGTCGACATCGATGTTGCCATTGTCGCGAATAGGGTTGGTCGCAATGGATAGGGGGTAGGAAAGCTTCGTCCACCATCGGGTCGACGACGACGAAGTTGACGTTGTCGGCATCATGAAATAGGTTCTCACAATCGGACATTTTTGCTCCTCAACTAAGTTTCAAACGGGAAAGAAAATGAATGGAGGGTTCCATGGAGAGTTTCAAACTCTGCCTTTCATTTCCTTTTGTTTTTTTTATTTGGTATACGAGATTTGACCTTTTTAAATTATCGCCACGTCATCACACTGTCAAATATTCTGTAAAAGGGGCTGTACGTGTAGCACTACTCAAGATATAATAATTTGGAAAGAAGTTAGTGAAAACAAAAGATAAGAAAAAATAATAATTTTTTTGGAGTAGTAAAATTATGTTTTAGAGATAAATAGTTTGTTAGAGTACTTAAAAATTTGTATTCTTTAAATTTTAATATGCTCTCTAAATTTCAAAATATACTCTTTAAAAATAAGAATCACTTGAAGAGCTCTTAATTACTAAGAGAATCTCTAAGAGACTCTCTATTTTTAAAGAACATATTTTATCATTTGGAGAGCATCTATAAATTTAGAGAGCTAAAATTTTGAAGTACTCCAACAAACTCTTTATATTTAATACTTAATTTTATTACTCCCAAAAAATATTTATTATTTTTCTTTATATTTTATTTTAACTAGTTTTTCTTTAGATTATTTTATTATTTTCTTATATTGAAAATTAAAATATTTTGAATGCATTTAATTATAGAGAGTGAGTTTAGCTCTCTAAAACCCACTCTCTAAATGAAAATGTTAATTTAAAAAGTTTTTTGGAACATGATTTTAAAGATTGACTCTTTAAAATAAAGAGTATCTTATATTTAAAGAGTCTCTTAGAGATGCTTTAATGGGCTATGGGGAACTAATAAACTGCGCGATGGAAAATTTGACTTGAAAAAATAAATAAAATTTTCGAAATTTGTGTGAAATTCAATATTAGGATTATTTTTAATAGTTTCAATTAAAATTGACTATTTTAATTATATTCGTAACACATATTTTGTTTGTTGCATCATATTTAAATGGTAATTGAGGTCTTTAACATTTCCTTACGTCTTACTTATGTTTTTAATTTTTTTTCATCATATTCATATTGTTAACCTTCTATTAATTAGCACATTTTGTCACTCATGATAATTTTAATCTAATAGATACAGTAGAAATCATAAAATGACTTATTTGTCCCTTATATTTTATATATAAGCAAAAAAGAGGTAGCTTCAATAAAATATTTTTCTTTTATTTAAACGCACATTAACATACTATTAACGCAAAGTTCATATTGACTTGGCAGCAACGTAGTGCGTTGTCTAACTAGTAAAAAGAACTTGGGAAGCTTTTTACTGGATGTAGAAGAATTGGGGTCTTAAGTTATGTATTAAATTAACCTTCTCATAATTCCATTATATTGAAAGAAATACTTGTCGATCAAAATTCAGTTTAGGGATTAGTTGTGTTCTTTTTTTTTTTTTCTAATCCCCACTCTTCTATTTTGCATGCTTAGCTTAAAAGCACCGACACGTGTCAGAGTGAGTCTAGCACATAACAGTGTTTGAGGCATGTTGGAACTGACACATCGGCACCAAAAGCATGTCAGTTTGACTTAGTATCCCACCTTCCAATCACTCAAAACGAGAAAAAATTGTTAATTTCCTAAATTTTTGGCTGGGTTCCTCTTTCCTTTCCCATGTGCATTGTTAATTTCCTCGAAGGTACCAAATAATGCTTCGCTCTCTCTCTCTCTCTCTCTCTCTCTCTCTCTTTCGTGTTCGTTTTAAGTCACTCTCTTCACTTCTTTCTCTTTCCTTGTTTAGCTAATGTGGCCCCTCAACCTATGACTAATCAAACCGTAGTTATTAAATGGGCCACAGCGACTTGCTACACCATTCTTGGCTAGGTTCCTCTTTCCATTCCTTTCCTTTGTGTTGAATATGTAAGATTAAAACTAGAAGCCTGGGAATACTCTCTCTCTCTCTCTCTCTCTCTCTCTCCAAAACTGAACACAGCAAATAATAAAGTTATCAATGAGAATATCTAGCAAATCGTTGTTTGATTCTTATACTTTTAAAATTCTTTTTTTCTATGTACTTATCACACAATAAAAATATTTTGTATGTAAATTTAAAATTTTTCCATACTTTTTAACCACACAATCTTATAAAAAACAAAACTCTTTTTCTTGAAAAGAATGACCACGAAAAAGGGCGAAATGTTAAAGATATAATGTATAATTAAAATATGGTTGTTCAATTAATCAACTCACATTTCTCTCTCCAACTTAAATAAATCATATTTCTTTCGTTTTTTTCCTTCTTACAAAAGCATCTTACTAATAAAGTAATTTTCAGACTCTTAGCTACTTTGGATTGTAGTGATTTAAGTCAACGTCAATTTAAGCTAGGGTGACAAAATAAACCGCCAAGTCCAGAAATCTCTAAACTCACCTAAAATCTTATTATTTTTAAATTTAAATTTTATTTTAAAAACTAAATAATACTATTAAAATACAAGTAAATAAAAGAGAAGATAAATGAGAGTATTTTAATCCAAACCTCACCCGACCTCTGCCTTTTCCCTTCCTATCCTGTTCTTGTCCACTTTTCAAAAATTCTGATGGTATGGACAGCGAAGGGCCATCCCAATCCGTTGTTATCCCTAACTTGAGGTCCATATAATGATATAGTCAACATCTTGTATAAATTTGTCCAAAAGATCAACTTTTCAGACTTCCATAAAATATGGACACAATCTATTTCTTATGAATAATTCTTGGTGTATAGGAATTAGTTTCACAGGGGCCTTACAGGCCCCCTCATTGTAGCACGGCCCCACCCAAGTGTATTTAAAAAAAAAATATGTGCCCCCCATGTCTAACCTGGCAAGGACTGTGAAGCAGGCCTCTGTAATGCAAGTAGAGCTCATTCTTATATATTTCTATATCAATGCTTGTTCGAAGTCTTCTAAAATATTTAATGAACTTTTCAACCATTAGAAGAAAAAAGCAATTTGTATTCTTTCGATATTGACTGACAACAGCCTTCATCGGATAATTCAATTATAAATATGATTAATATTGAAAGATTCTCGATATTGTGGTTGTTGTAAAATAAATAAAATTCCAGAATAGCTCTGATATCAACAGTTGTGAAAGAAATCATCAGATTGAGATGTTGAAATTCTATGGCAAATAATAATGAGGTATATGATCAAACAAAAGAATAATAAAGACAAATATGGCAGATGAATTAAGAAATTATATTGACTCATGAATAATGAAGAAGAGAAAAAAATTACAGTAAATCCTATAATTCTAGTAATTTATTTTCTCACACTATAAAATTGTATAGAAGAGCCTAGTATTTATAGGGAACATGTAGGGGATATCCAAACTCTCCTAGTACAGTTGTTGATGAAGAATGATACCAAAAATCAAGTCCAAAACAAATTACAACTCACAATGGGCTTCCAAAATAGAACTTTAACTTGACATAAGACTCCAATAGTATTCCAAACTGAATTCTTCTTGATGTGTACTTCAATTAGAATTCTTCAATTACATAATTTACATCAACAAGGAACTCGGGTTACACCCAAATTCCAAAAATCTCCACCTTGACAAGAATTCCACCAATGAATGAACTGGTTTTTTCAACAATAATCAAAAAAATAATTTCTTCAACAAAACACAATACTCCACATTTTTCAATGAATCCAATCACTATTCTGCAGAATTATTTCAAATCCTAAAAAATCATAATGATTTTATAATTTATCAAAATGGGCTATAACACACCTCGAAGCATAATCAAACCCAAATTTGTTTAAAAGGCATCTTGCTAGATTGTACAACTTCTACTCCACTTAAAGCATGTTCAACAAAATCAGCATCCACATACTCTTTTCCATTAGGTACGTCCCTAGCAATTGAATACAATGGCACCGCAAGTGATGGTGATAGAGCTGCATTATCCATTTTTCTTGAGATCCACTAAACTGTATGCTTCAAATCTGACTATTTATGAGCTCCTAAAGGTATTGCACCAAACTAAATATCCACCACGGTATTGAACCTGTGCTAATGACTCTTCTAAATTATGCACGATCCTGGAAGACATATAACTAAGACATTTCATGTCCCTCTAATACAACTTGAGCACCCTTACAAACATTCAAAACTCCAACTCAACCTTCACCTCCAACAAAGAACTCATAACCTTTTGAATCAAGAATAGACAATCAGATGAGATTTTTCTTCAAATCTGAAACATGTCGAACCTAGCCAAGTGTTCTAATTGTTCCATCCAAAAGCTTCAATCTGACTCTGCCAATTCCAGCAACCCGATAAGATGCGTTGTTTTATGAGATTTTTCTTCAAATTTGGAACATGTCGAACCTGACTAAGTGTTCTAATTGTTCCATCCAAAAGCTTCAATATGACTGTACCAATTCCAGCAACCCGACAAGATGCGTTGTTTCCCATAACCACGACACCTTTGAAAACAGTTTCATATGTAGCAAACAAGTCCTTGTTAGGACACATATGAAATACACATGCTGAATCAAAAATCCAATCATCTTTCGATTTAGATTCAATGTCAAAAATAGCTAAGAGATCTCCATCACTTACAACATTCTCCGAGAAGTCTGCTTCGCCTAAAGTATCTGAATGTCTACTTGCTGTCATCTTTTCTTTATTCTATAATTTGTAGCAATCCTTCTTTAACTACTCTTTCTTATGCAGTAGTTATAAATTTGATTATTGAGCTTAGATTTCGATATGTCCCTTCCAGAACCACCATGAGCAACTAGGCCTTCTCCATCTCTGGCCTCAGAAATCAGATACTTCGTCTTCTCTTTTGAATACAAAGTATCATACACTTTCTCTATGGTGAGAGTATCACGACTATATAAGATCGTGTATTTAAATGAAGAAAATGAAGTGGACAATGAGTACAATATGATTAAGGCCAAATCTTCTTCATCATACTCTACTTTCAAAATTTCCAAATCAGTGATGATCTCCTTTAATACAGTCAGGT